CACTCACTCACTCACTCACTCACTCACTCACTCACTCACTCACTCACTCACTCACTCACTCACTCACTCACTCACTCACTCACTCACTCACTCACTCACTCACTCACTCACTCACTCACTCACTCACTCACTCACTCACTCACTCACTCACTCACTCACTCACTCACTCACTCACTCACTCACTCACTCACTCACTCACTCACTCACTCACTCACTCACTCACTCACTCACTCACTCACTCACTCACTCACTCACTCACACACACACACACACACACTCATACACACACACACACACACACACATAGAATTCAAAATATTCATAAAAACTATAGTATTTTAACATGAAAAACTAATTTAAAAATAAACAACTAAATTACTAAAACTTTAACGAAAGTAAAATGAAAATCAAATGTAAAAATAAAAACGAATACAAAATATTAATTCAAGCTATATATACATTTAAAATAACCTCAAAACTAATAACAATGACAAGAACAACAATATAATGAACTCTAATTAAAAGTATAATGAAAACAAAATATTAAAACAAAAATATATATTAAAAAAATGAAATATTAATAAAAATTGTTTAGACGTATTTAAAAACAACTAACAAAAATGTGACGACACACTTAAATAACAAAAGAAACTCATGACTAAAACTTTTCAATTAAAACTTTTTACTACATTTTAAAGTGAACCTTAAAATATAAAAAGAAAATCTGATCCTAAATATGAACACAATGATTGTAGAGACTGTACTGATTTAATGATGGTCCGGTGGTTTGTCCAGGGATCTTCTGCGGATCGGCGTGACTCTAGCAGGACACCAGAAGAAGATTCTGTCCAGTGTCCAGACGCTGCGGGTCCACGGCGGCGCCCTGCAATACTGACGCTTCCCAGCATTCCCTGCTTCTGCTGGAGCTCTTACAGATCAGACCGATCGACCAATCACTGAGGAGCGCCACAGAACCAGCCAATCAGTGTCCTGTCTGTGTTTGTTCTCTTGGTTTCACTCGGACTGGTGTTCTCAGGAGCGTCTCGTGAAGAGACATCACAGGAGGACGTGTTACTGTTGCCGTGGCGACACCAATGCATTCTGGGAGCTTAATCGGATCTTCACATTGAAGATTCATTATAATTATTATTATAAAGTGAGATTATTATTTTGTACGTATGAAAACAGCACAAATAATGAACGAATGTTTGTTTAGCAAATGGACTGTGGGAGCTGTCAATCAAACCGAGTGTAATCTGTGTGACCAATCACATTAAAGATCTGCACTGGCCCCTCCCACCACCTCCAGTGTGTGTGTGTGTGTGTGTGTGTGTGTGTTTTAATGACCAATCAGCATCAACACAGCTACTTAAAGACGACTAACATTAAAAACACTGGATTACTTCACTGTTAAACATTAGCACTCAACACAACAACAATCTAAACTAAACAATGCTCAGATGTGTCTCATTTTTAGTGTTTTATTGTTGATTTTAACTGTAGAGATGCTGTGGGTGTGTGTGTGTTTGTGTGAGTGAGTCTGAGTGTGTGTGTGTGTGTGTGTGTGTGTGTGTGAGTGTGTGTGTGTGTGTGTGTGTGTGTGTGTGTGTAATTTATCTTGTAGAACAAAACAACTAAGTATCGTAAAGCTATGTTTACCACAGGCCTTCACTCTTAAAAATAAAGCTGCTTAAAAGGTTCTTCACGGCGATGCCACAGAAGAAGCATTCAGTCAAAGCTTCTTTAAAGAACCATCTCTTTCTTACCTTGTTATAATCTGAAGAACCTTCTTTCACCACAAAGAAGCTTTTGTGAAACAAAGGTTCTTCAGATGTTAAAGCTTCTTTATGAAACCATTTAGACAAAAAAGTGTTGCTTTACTCATAAATTGAAAGCCCCATTATAAAAACTGGATTTCTGGATCTTAGTTTCTACGACTGAGAAATAAATTAAAAAGTACAAATAACGTTAGATAATACTTATACTTCCTTTTCACCTCAGTGTATGAATAGTCACTACATAGTCATGACAAAAACCAAAAAACATAACAGAAAGGTTTTTATTTTGTGTCTGTGCAAATATGTGGGTCAAAGTGAGCCCTAACACAATAGAAATGGATGGAAATTATTGCATTTCTTACATATGTTATATTTCTAGTCTCTTATAGTGTCAGTTTTTGGCAAACTGCACAAAACCAAAGTGGGTTGATTTGAGCAACAGACAGGAACGCAGGACTCGGACTGAAGCCGAGCGAAGGGTTCTTCAGTGTTGAGGTTCAGCAGCAGATCCAGTGATGTAGTGTGAACTGAACTCAAGTCACTTCTCTTCTGTAATCGATGACAGTCCTGCCGCTTTCAGTCTTGATTATAAAGCAGACAGATGAGGAATATAAACTCAGCGCAGCTGCGTGACAAACCTCCCATCATGCCGAGCGATTCAGTTACAGTGTCTGTGTGTGTGTTTATGCTCTCGGATGATATTTTAGTATCAGTCGGATGTTCTGGTGCGTTGGGTTTATATTACAGAATCAGAAAGAAACAAAGCTGAGGTCTGATTATCGTACAGTGTTTGAGAGGATTTGAATGTGTTTGTGTGTTTTGGAAACTCGTCTGTGATGAAGTGAGCTCATAATAATCAAGTTCACATCTGTAATTTAAAGGGGTCATATGATGCGATTTCAAGTGTTCCTTTCTCTTTGGAGTGTTACAAGCTCTTGGTGCATAAAGAAGATCTGTAATGTTGCAAAGACTAAAGTCTCAAACCAAAGAGATATTCTTTATAAAAGTTAAGAGTCAGCCACACCTACCTAAAACGGCTCGTTCTAACACGCCCCCACATGTCTACCTCACTATGTGGGAAGATTTGCATAACGCCGCCCAAATGTTCACGCAAAGAAAGAAGGCGTAACTTTTATTCTCGCTGTAGTATTGTTGTTGCGGCTGCCATGTCGTGAAGAGCTGTGTGTTTCGGTGTGAAAGCGAAACTACTTTGTTTGGTCTTCCAAAAGAGGACGATATCCGCTTCGTCATGCCTAGAGCTGATCTGTGCTGGTCGCTGAGGAAATACATCAACTTTGCTGTGGATCGCCGGATCGGCTTTCACCGTGAACGAAGCGGAGTCCAGCCCGGAGTCGTCACATGTCCTTCCGGACGCTCCTTCGTCGAAATCGCCGCCTCTGCTCACTCAAGGCCGCCGTGTGTGACGCTGTGTTGTGAAAGCGAAACTACTTTGTTTGGTTTTCCAAAAGAGGACAATATCCACTTCGTCATGCCTAGAGCTGATCTGTGCTGGTCGCTGAGGAAA